ATATATATATATAAAGCATTTTTTTTAAGGACTGCCATACTGTTTTCCAGAATGAATTACAGTAAGACCCACTTAACCCCTCAGTTCCCGATCAACTTTTAATTAATTATAATTAAACATAAAAAATACTTAAAACTGAAAAAAAAAACGAAAGAAATGCGTTCATTTTGAAGAAAAAGCTTCAAAGTTTAACTTCCTTTGTCTTGCGTTTCTGTGAAATTTGACACTGATGAGTCATTGTTTACACAGCTGGATGACCTTGAGAACAGCTGGTGTCGGAATTCCCGGGACATTCTCATAGATGTAACATTGCATGAATTAACGCTGATTTGATATAACATAGTTTGCTTGAAGCCTAAAAATAGCTCAAAATTTACAGATTCAAATTATTGTGGCATTTTATTGATTCATATATAATACAATTATTTATGAACACCAACCAATCAGCAAAAGGTGGCAATTTATCATAGTGCTGTACTTTCCTTAAATCTATATTTGTTTTGTGGAATTTTGGAAAAAATATAACATTATGGATGTCATAGCTTGACAAGAATTAACTGATAAATGCATAGCTTGACAAGAATTAACTGATAAATGCATGAATGGAGTTTGGAAGAAGTTATGGTTGAAGGTATCCAAGAATTCTCAACGAGAAGAGCCTATCACTGTATTGTTATGTTGACCAAATTGTCAAACTAATCGATACAGCGGGACTAGGAGATGTAGATGAGCAGGATATTGAGGAGTTACAGAAGGTTTCTGGTGAGAACCTTATCAATGATGACCTTCAAGAACTGGCAGAACAAAGAATACATGTAGAACTGGAAAATAATGATTCTGAAAATGAAGCACCTAAAGAATTTCTCTACAGATTTCCTTAGTAAAAGTTTGGTAATGATAACTGAAACCATTGATCAAACTGTAGCAAATGATCCAGATTTTGAATGGAGTGCAAAAGCAAAACAAGGCATTTTGGACACTACCAACATTTGCTTAAGGAAAGAAAAAAGTGACAAATGAAACTACACGATATTATTGCAAAAAACAAGAATTTCAGAAAAGCCAGGATCTTCATCACAAAAAATGAACTTTACATTTCTGTGTGCATATGTTTGTGTTATTTAACATATATTATTATGCAAATTAATATAAAAATAATGTAATAATAGTAAGAAATCTGCTAAAAATTAATATNATGTTTACAATTTAATAATTTAAACATAATATATAGTGTAATAATAAAAAATATTCATATAGAATAACAGAAAAGTTTCCATTTTATAACTTGAATAATATTTTTGAACTTTTTAAATTCTCTCTTGTTAAAGTGCTGTTATTGATTCGAACTTTTGATTCTATGATTAGTGTGTGTAGTATGAAATGTAGATATTTGATAATATAACTGTGTAAAAATATTGTTTGGTGAATACTGTTGTTTCTATTTATATTTCATGCTTTCTGCAGTAATTATTACACCAGAATAAAGTAAATATTTTACAACTATCTACAAGTCTGAATAATAATAAGTATACAGTTCCAGGGATCAGGAGCGGAACTGGAAGCAGGAAACCCCAATAAATTTATGTTTTATCAGTTCACTTGGCAAGCTTATTAACTTGCTTTTGTAAAGTCCATTGAATATTTGTTCTCCTGATATTAATTTAGCTAGTAGATGTATTTAGTTTTAATTTTCTTTATAATTGTGAATTTTCTTGTAGTTGTAATATCATCAGCTTAAAATTTGTATATTATATTTAGAAAAGTGACATTTTTTGTTAAGAAACTGAGTGGATTTACCCTTTGAACAGTAAATATTTCTTCATTTTTTATTTCAAAAATTATAAATTTTTTAACATAATGATATAATATACATAATTAATAACTATAAATTTATATAGAAAAACATTTAATTAGTTAATTTATTTAATATGATAATTTATATATTAATTATAATGAGATAGATAATATAATTTACTTTTTATTGTGGCAATATACCTTATTAATGTTGATATTGTTAAAATTTTTTTTGTAAATTTAAGTAATTATTATTATTTTATTAATTAGCGAACACTAAAGTTTGTTTTATTAGGATATATTAAATTTTTTTGTTAATATATGCTGTAAAAATTATTAAAAAAATAAATATATTTTAATTAAAATAATCATTTAAAACTCATTTATTTAAAAATTTTCAAGAGTTCTGGGATTTTATTTCTGTTCTGGGATGAAATTGTTTTGAATATTAAATTCAAAAATTTTTAAAATTGAATTAAATATTTATATTAATTTAAAGCAAATTTTTGGGAAATATTTAATAAATAAATTTGAAGTTTATCTAAATACAATAAATTTTTTGCAGTTATTAATATTTTTATGCATTTTTTTCTTTACATTTATAAAATTACATATTTTAAAACAAATTCTGTTGATGAATTATTCATTTCAGATAAATTGTTTAAATTTTTAAAAATTTGAATAAAATTTAATATTTATTCTCTTAAGTGATATAGAACAAGAGTATTCTTACATTAATCAAATGTAGAACAAGCTCTGTATTCAATACTTATCTTTCTAATATATTGTGTTTGTATAAATGTATTATAATTTACACACAGAAAGAATAGTTGTAACATATTTGCTGATTATGATTTATATAAATATATTCTTTGAAATAAATAGTTGTATTGAAAACATTTAATTCTTGTTAAAAAATAACTTTTTTAAAAATAAATAGCTTTATTATATATAAATGTGAATATCGGGATAAGATAGATGAAAATAGTTATTTGAGCAATATTATACAGGAGAAGGTTCATTTTTGTATGTAAAATGTACAGTTATATTGCTCAAATGCTGTAGAAATATATATATATAAAGCATTTTTTTTAAGGACTGCCATACTGTTTTCCAGAATGAATTACAGTAAGACCCACTTAACCCCTCAGTTCCCGATCAACTTTTAATTAATTATAATTAAACATAAAAAATACTTAAAACTGAAAAAAAAAACGAAAGAAATGCGTTCATTTTGAAGAAAAAGCTTCAAAGTTTAACTTCCTTTGTCTTGCGTTTCTGTGAAATTTGACACTGATGAGTCATTGTTTACACAGCTGGATGACCTTGAGAACAGCTGGTGTCGGAATTCCCGGGACATTCTCATAGATGTAACATTGCATGAATTAACGCTGATTTGATATAACATAGTTTGCTTGAAGCCTAAAAATAGCTCAAAATTTACAGATTCAAATTATTGTGGCATTTTATTGATTCATATATAATACAATTATTTATGAACACCAACCAATCAGCAAAAGGTGGCAATTTATCATAGTGCTGTACTTTCCTTAAATCTATATTTGTTTTGTGGAATTTTGGAAAAAATATAACATTATGGATGTCATAGCTTGACAAGAATTAACTGATAAATGCATAGCTTGACAAGAATTAACTGATAAATGCATGAATGGAGTTTGGAAGAAGTTATGGTTGAAGGTATCCAAGAATTCTCAACGAGAAGAGCCTATCACTGTATTGTTATGTTGACCAAATTGTCAAACTAATCGATACAGCGGGACTAGGAGATGTAGATGAGCAGGATATTGAGGAGTTACAGAAGGTTTCTGGTGAGAACCTTATCAATGATGACCTTCAAGAACTGGCAGAACAAAGAATACATGTAGAACTGGAAAATAATGATTCTGAAAATGAAGCACCTAAAGAATTTCTCTACAGATTTCCTTAGTAAAAGTTTGGTAATGATAACTGAAACCATTGATCAAACTGTAGCAAATGATCCAGATTTTGAATGGAGTGCAAAAGCAAAACAAGGCATTTTGGACACTACCAACATTTGCTTAAGGAAAGAAAAAAGTGACAAATGAAACTACACGATATTATTGCAAAAAACAAGAATTTCAGAAAAGCCAGGATCTTCATCACAAAAAATGAACTTTACATTTCTGTGTGCATATGTTTGTGTTATTTAACATATATTATTATGCAAATTAATATAAAAATAATGTAAAATTAAAGTAAAATCTGTTTATTTTCGGTCACATGTTTCCCTTTCCCTATTTACTCTGTGTTAAAATGGCCTCATTTAATGCTGTTTTGTTTAGTGCTTTGTCATCTAGGAATGCATCCCCTGCATTAAGCAGTGTCTTACTGTATTTAATGAATAATTCATGATATATCTAGTCATTAAAACAATTAGAAAATTAGAAAGTCTGAAGGAAAATAAATAAATATGTTAATGACTAAACCCAAACTTCTGTACTAATCAAATTATTTTATGCTATATCTTGGCTAATTATATTTAAAGTAATTTATATTAAAGGCAGAAAGTTAGATTGCCATTTTGTATTAATATGAATAATTTAGAATATTTTAGAAGAAAAGCTCAACCCAGAATAGAACTTTAAACTCTCAACTTTTGCTAATTGTGGAGATGTATTATCAGTTACACTAATCAAATATTTGACTAATGTTCATTTCTAGACTAGTTGATTTAAGCAAACAGATGGAATAACTTTATTCCTTGGGCCATGTTCTGGTCATTGTCCTTCATCTCTGAGAGACGGTGTTTACATCACAAACCGGTCACTGATTAGCTAATCAGTGATCGGCTCTTAAATACAGTATAATCTCTGATTAGCAGACAAGCAGACACCATTGGGACCGAGATGTTTGTCTGCTATTTAGAGGTAAATATAATAGATGTCCTGTTTGAAGGGTCTGGGGATTGTAAAAATATTTGTTAAGTAGAGGTGTCCACTATTCAGATGTGTCCTTTAATGGAGGTTTCTTTGTAATTTGTAAAATAATAAAATAATCATTTATAACTTATTTTTCAACCATTATTTATAAATGTTTTAATTTTCTCAATTTCTATAGTTTTATATTGTTTTTAAGTTAAAAAAAGTTTCCCAAAAATTTTAATTTATTTTTCTATGTTAATCAAATTTTATCAAGAAGTTTCTTATAAGTAATTATTATTTTAGTGCTGTTACTCCAATGGAATGTGATATTCCAGCAGAAAATGCTGAGCAAAGCAATAACAACATAGAAACAGAAGATTTCATTTTAAACTTATCAGAAACTGCCACACAAAATGCAGCAGATGAAAATAAAATTCCAGAAGATGACAAAGAATTATTTGAAGATGAACACAATAGTGATGTATCAATGCAAGCACAAGAAGTAAATTTTTATTTTTACTTTCAAAATATATCAAAATATGCTTTTTTTTTATTAAGTCTGCTATTACAGGATGCCGAGAAAATGAAAGCTCCTATTTGTCCTGAATTAGTACAACCTAATTATTCCTGTAAAGGTATTTTTTCAAATTTTTTTGCATTATATCCAGTGTTATGACATTAAATTGAAAACTGTAATGTACCTATTTTATAAAACTGAAAATTTAAAAGTTAAAGATTAATTTATAGGATTTACATATTCTCTGATCACTTATTTAAATACAGCAATAACAATATGAATTTTTCAAAAGAAACAGAAGAATAAATGACTGGAATAAAGTTACTAACTAATAAGACAAAATATTTTAGAAAAATAATTTAGAATAAAACTTCTATCCTGTTAAGAAAAACAATGAATTAAATATTTTAGAAAAATAATTTAATTCATTGTTTTTCTTAACAGGATAGAAGTTTTATTCTATAATTTTATTTTAAAATTTAATCATAAAATAATAAATTCTTACATTAGAATGCAGTATTCCCTCTATATCTCTAGTTGTGCATTTCAAACTTCTCTGCAGATGATTGAAATTGTTGCTAATATCAAACACTACATGTTTTCTAACGTACATACATACAATACTTAATATACAGTTTAATGTAAAACTTACATAGTCATATTAAGCAAGCTATATAAAGCACTGCATAGTATTTGTAGCGATACTGCAAACATGAATATTGCTTACATTATGTTGTGGATGCTGTAGAATGACTGTAAGTGAGAGATTAGGGAGACAGTTGACAAAGGAAAATTCTTGACAATGTCCAGGCAGGCACAAGTGAAATTTATGTGTCTAATTTTTAAATTATATTTATTTAATGTTTTCTCACTGCAGATAACTGAAACCACAGTTGATGAAACAGATAAGGGGATATATTTCATAAATAGTTTAAAGTAAATACAGGAAATTTGTTATTTATAAATCAAAATTATTAATGCTAAACAAACCACTGGATTATTTATTGGGCTGTAACAAGGCCTTGTACAGCCTATGAAATAATTAGGTTGATGTATATGTTATCAAAATTATTTAAGTTTTTATGAAGTGGATTATTGTAATTTTTCATTAAAAAATTTATTTTATTTTGCTATTTTTCTTTTTGTTAGTAATACAACTTTAATAATCAAATCGGAATTATACTTCACCAGGTTACAGTAAACAATAAACAAACGTACCGGGAACCAGTTGCTGGTGTGCTTCTTGGAAAAAACAGAGCATTACAAATGTTTTCAAACTTGAAAGTTCTTCTTAGGTAACTGACGACTGTTAAGCGAATGCAATTCAAATTCAAGTCAAATTGGAATACCATTCAGAATTCTATTGTGTGGATTGATGATGTCATTCAGGCATGTGCCTCTATGCCGGTTGTAAATTATCGTAAGTTCTTGTCTATGAGCACATGCCATGCAACAGGGTGATTTCGTCTTTGTGGTTAATGCAATTATCATTTTTTAGTGTAGCCATACATATATAAAGGGCCTCTAGCTATGTAAGATGGTAACAACAGTTCTATTTCTGTATCTGAGGCATAGATGGCTAGAGCGGTGGTTTGCCTCGCATGTAGAATATCAGTTGTGTGTTCTTTTATTCTCACTTCTAGGGAGCGCTTGGTGGATCCTATGTAGATCAGGCTTCTGTCCCATCTATGGTCCATAATCAGGATGGTGTATACCGCCGAGAGTCGTTCTTTGTTAGGGGTGTCTTTCCCATTCTGTAAAATTACCTTAAATCACTGTACCACACAATAGCCAAGAAAAAGAATATTCACATTGCCTATAGAAGATACGCGACAATTTTTGATATTTTACGGAAAGACACTCCCACAAAGAATGACTCCCAGGGTATACACCATCCCAATTATGGACCATAGATGGGACAGAAGCCTGATCTACATAGGATCCACCAAGCGCTCCCTAGAAGTGAGAATAAAAGAACACACAGCTGATATTCTACATGCGAGGCAAACCATTGCTCTAGCCATCTATGCCTCAGATACGGAAATAGAACTGTTGTTCAACCAGGCCAAGGTAATCCGCACTACAAAATACATACACCATCTTAGATGGCTAGAGGCCTTTTACATCTGTATGGCTACACTAAAAAATGATAATTGCATTAACCACAAAGATGAAATCACCCTGTCAACTGCATGGCAGGTGCTCATAGACAAGAACTTACGATAATTTACAACCGGCACAGAGGTGCATGCCTGAATGACATCATCAATCCACACAATAGAATTCTGAATGGTATTCCAATTTGACTTGAATTTGAATTGCATTCGCTTAACAGTCGTCAGTTACGTGAAGAAGAACTTTCAAGTTCGAAAACATTCATAATGCTCTGTTTTTTCTGAGAAGCACACTGGAACAGGTTCCCGGTACATTTGTTTATTGTTAACTTTAATAATATGTTAATATTATTAAAGTTAACAATAAGTTATTACAAGTTAATACAACAGTCATCAGTTACCTGAAGAAGAACTTTCAAGTTCAAAAACATTCGTAATGCTCTNAAATTAGTGTAGCCTGGGGTAAAATGGAGATTTGGCAACTAAAACATACACTTGCTGTTGCCAATCTAAATATTTTGTAACTAGATCTAAGTACTTTTATTTAAAAAACAGTATATATATATATATATATATATCTACTGTTACTATATGAATATATATATATATATATATAACATGGTCATAAAAACTTTTTCTTATATAAAATTTTATTTTTCAAAATCTGTCAACTTTAACAGTGTTTCATTTGCACCAAAATATAAAAGGAACATTTAAATTATTATTATTTTTTCTTTTCTGATGTTTACCTTTTTCCCATGTTCTTTTACTTCTTTGCAGAATCAACAATAATAGTTAGTGTGTACCTGGATATGTTGGTGCTTTTTGTAGCACCTCAGTTGAACAAGTTGGTGATTTTCTAACAAAATGGTGCATCATCACCTTGGGGATTAAGTGTTTGAGACTTCTTTGATGCCACATTTCCTGATAGATGTGATAGTACAATATCCTTGCCACCATGACCACCAGACATAATAGATGCCATTGCTTCTGTCTCTGCAGAGATGTTGGAGAAAACTTGGCAAAAAATTGAATATCAGTTAGATGTACTCAGGGTTACAAAGGGTTCATGTGAAGCTTATTAGCATGTCAATAAAAAACTTTATATTTGATATCTTGTCTTATATTCTGGTAAAATCTGTTTATTGTATCTGTGATAGTTGTTTAATAAAATTTTATAATAAGGAAAAGACTTTATGCTCACTCTGTATATCAATATCTTAGATTTTTTTAAAATATTTATTTATAGTAATTCAACTTAAAATGACATTATGTTTATAGGCATTTGTTACTACACACAAAAAATATTTATCTTAAATAAACTGCTGAAAGTCAAGAAAATTGTATGGTCTCTTATGTGGTCTGTACACTCAAAGAAAATGTTTAGTAATATTTTTATTATGGATCATGATGTTATTATCATCATTAACATAATCAGAAATATTTTTATTTTTTTACTTTTGCTTTTAGTACATTTGTTTAATGTCAAAATTGATCAAATCCAAAATTATTAATGTTTTTCTTTACATGACTTGTATGACAAACAGACACATATGTATGTTTGTGTGATTGTTTTTTCTTATATTTATAAAATTGGATTTTCTCTTAGCTGTTCTCAAAATAAATTTAAGTACAAAATATTTTTGAAATATCTGAATGGATTAATTAGATTAATTACTTATAATTTGCATTACAACAAATATATCAATAAATAAGATATTAAAAATAAATATTAATATATGTTTTAATAAACTTTTGCCTAAGACAATATAAAGCAGGAATTACATGTTTTTATTAAATTGTAAAATATGTTTGAAGGAGCTTAAAAAAGATCAAATGAAAATATTTAGATCTGCTAGTTTTTATTTCAGCAGCATTGCTACAAGTAGTTGCTTTTAATACACAAGAATCCAATGTTTTTATAATTTAGTTCAGATATATTGATTAATTTTAATTTATTTTTTATTTTTTGTATTTTGTTGGAAAGATTTTTTTGGCTAAGTTTAAATAAAATTTCATTTCATCATCAAAATGAAAAACATTTTAAAATATTTTATTCAAATGTTGAATCTGACATCACTTTGAATTTTTGATGCATTACAAAATGAATCAGTCTATCCTGCATGCTTATGTAAGATCTTTTCTATTTTCAGAAACTCAAACTGACATTGCAGTAAATAATAGCAGTAAATCTGTTGAAACTGAAACAACAAATCAGCAAGAAACAGAAACAACTGAAGAAGTAACAAAGGAAAAAGTAGGTTATAATGAATATATAATTAAAATTTGCAGAAATATTAGTGCAAACAAATCAGACTTACTGTAATAACGAGTCACTTAGATTTTACAAATACATGAGCCGTTCACAGCCCGGCACACGTATTTGTAAAATCTAAGTGACTTGTACAACATGGAATTCATATAACATGGAATTATCTACAGTGTTATAGGGGGGGTCTACTGTATTCTTATGTATTTTCATCTGCTGAATTCAAAAATCACTATAAAAATGGCCGATTAGCTCTTGCTTTGGAGCAGCAATTCCCAACCAGTGGTCCACGAGAGCTAAAATATGAGCCACAAAAGATTTAGATTACGTCAATCATTTTAAATTATAATTTAAAATGATTGACGTAATCTAAATAATACAAAATATATGAGAAAGATTTTATAGTAAAATTTGTAAAAAAAAATGTTTTTTTACAAAATAGTGCATCTTCAATTATTTCAAATTTTTGTTGGTGTTTTTCCTGTAAAGCACCTCAGATCAGCATATAATAAAACTACAATCTATTATAGAATATATATATTTATGCAAACATGACAGCCCTCCTTGACTCAATCAATTATGCTTGAGTACAAATGGAAAATATATGGCAATCTAAATGTCATCTCTGTACTCTTAGGAATGCAACTAGGGTACACTAAATACTGTTGCTTTTTATGTATGTGGGACAGTAGGGATATGAAATCACATTATATTCAAGCGGAATAGCCTGCAAGAAATCTTGACTCTACCGAGAAAAATATTGTTGCCGAGCCTCTCATGGACCCAAAAGATTTTCTTCTTCCACCACTTCATATCAAGGTAGGTTTTGTCAAAAGATTAAACCAGAAAGGACAGGCATTTAAGTACTTAAGAGACAAATTTCCTAGATTGAGTGATGCAAAGGTTAAGGAAGGTATTTTTGTTGGGCCACAAATTCAAAAATTTGTAAAGGATCCTGCATTTGACCAAGTTTTGGAGGGAAAAGAAAANGTGAGGCAGTATGTTGAGCCGTTGGAAGGTGGCAATGGACCAACAATATCAATATGAATGTTTAAAAATCTAGCGTCTGGAATAGGAAAGGTTCCCAAAGGGCTAGCGACATGTCTCTGGATTTTCGACCGCTGACAAGAAATGCAGGTGCGAGACCATGTCTGGCAGTCTTTACTGATGGACGGCGAAACAAATTTTGCTTTTACTAATCTGGTTGAGCCCCTTACACCTGGATGGGACAGGTTATGGACAGTGTTGAAAGCAGTGCGACGATCTCTGGCGCTGGCGGCCACAACTTCTTTGCACCATTCTTTGATCTTTCCGTACTTTGCGTTATGTTATAAGAGCCAAGATATAACATAATTAATGCTATCACTTTTCAACTTTCCCTTCACCAGTGTATGAAAATTGAATGACTCTGCTTTCTTTTCTGTTATAACATAAAGTATTGATATGAGTCTCTTTATAATTCTTTGTAAAACTCCACGATTTCGGACCTCCCGAGCCCGGTTTTTCAAAAAACTTGACCTTGCGTTATAAGAGGGTTACCTAAGTTGTAATAATTTATAACATTGAAAGTTACTTACTTCGAAGAGGCCATTCTTTCAGTTTTATCAAGTCTTTCAGGAAGAGAACGGAAGACTTCGTGCAAGGTGAAGATACGTTCACTTCTTCGAAAATTTTCATCATATAAGGAAGACTCCGCTTGAAGACAGACTTCAAAGCGGTTTTGATTCGCATCTCCGCATTTTATAAGATCATTGACGTTTGTCGGAAATCATCGCCGTCCTCGGGATTTGTATTGTTGCATTTCGCGTAACACAAAAAAAGCGTCATGATTAAGAAGTAATTAAGAAATCTTTCGTACTGCATTTCTGAAGCTTTCTCTGTCTCGATGAACAACTTGTAAGTCTCTTTGCATTTACTCTCGTCATAATTTATCAGAAAATTTATAAAAAATGGTTACAAAAACTGGCTAATCAATGACAACTACATTCCTGAAACTTATTTAAAAATTATTTGTTCTCTCCAATACAAATAAATAAATAATTTTTGGATGTTTTAATTATTCTCGGTGTTGAAGTGAGTCGATTATTGTTTAAATATTAAAAGGAAAATTATAAACATTGATTTCATAATTCTAAAATAATATATTCTAAAATATTAGTTTATTTCACTATCCAAGGGCAAAGTGATTGGCTGGCAAATGTAATGTGTCGAATTGCGTGACAAAAATTTGTAAATAAAGTACTTCCTACTCTATTTTTTCAAAAGTTATTTGCAAAAAATAAATTACCGCACAATAAAATAATTTTCTCGAGTAAATGCTCTTTTAGGCAGATATTTTACACTAAATGCGTATTTAATATACACTATCTCTTTTTCTCTTAAAAATTGTTTGTGCAGGTAGTAAAATCTTGGAATTAAATAAGCAGATTTAGTGAATTTTACTTTAAATGGCGAGAGTTACACTGTTAGCCTAATGCCTAACGCGTAAATTCAAATTTCACTTCTCAAATTTATCAACAGAAAAACTTTCGATCATTGTCTCTTTCCTACTTCTTATTTAAAGACTTCATTACCGATCAAATATGCATTTGATTTGATGAATGAGTATAGGCTCGTGTGACCGAAGGGTCGGCATTTCTTTGATGCTTGGTAACCACCGACACGTCAGTGTCTGACGCGACAGCAATTGTTTTGGATTAGAAAGTTGGTGACGCGAGCGGCCGCGTATGGAGCGATTGGATTCGGCTGGAGGCGAGTGAGACAGCTTTGGAAGCAAAACACTCAGATACTAGGTTAATCAACCAAATACCCGTTCATTTTTCATACCAGATGTACAGGCTAACGGTAGGAAGACAATTAGACATTGAATTTGAGAGTGTCATGGACGCGTTCGCGAGAGAGAGAGTTTACATCGTTGTTATAAATGCATCCAATCTACAGAGAGTCTCTTTTATACGACATTATCGTTCAAACGTATTTTATACGTGAAAGTTCGGAACACACTGGAAACAGTTCGAAAAAAAATGTATCAAGAACAGGAGTAGAAAATTTCCTTGGGCAGAAAACCTGACAGAGGCGAACCGGAAAAGATGATAATTAGTTATCGGCAGAAAATCGTATTCTGTGTTCCTATAGAGAGACACGGGGTTTTTATAACGGGCAACAACCGCTTCATTACGCAAAATTTCAGAAATTATCGACCAAAACACAAGAGTTATAAAATTATAATTAGATGAACAATAACATCCCCCGCCCAACACACTAATTTATTTAAAATAACTTTCCTTTTTCATTTCTCTATGCATCAAAGACTGCCGAGTTCGTAAATATAAAAACCTTGACGAGGACGTTATCTGATCCATGTTCATTTTTTACCACTGTTTTATATAAACGCCGAAAGATTAAACAATAATATTTTAGTGAAAATAAATAATTAAAATTAATTATATGAAAATATTCTAGATCTTATCTTCTTCTTCGTCTGGCATTATGAGCCTTGGAGGTCCTTAACCACAGTCACAATCTTTCTCCATCTCATTTGGTTTATAGCCTGCCTCTGCCAATCTTCGATTTTGAGGTCTTGAAGATCTTCAGTGACTCAATCTATCCATTTTTTTCTGGGACGGCCTCTTGGCCTCTTTCCTTTTCCCTCATAGTGGAGCACTCGTGAAGCTGTTGCCATTATAGGAAGCCTTTCGACATGGCCTAGCCACTGTAATCTGGTTTTAATCCGGCAATCAGCAAATGTATTTATTTAATACTGGAGAAGTGACATACTTCCATGCCCCAACAAGAACATTCACTGCCATTGATCTATCATTAGCAACTCCGAATCTGTTTTCAGCATTTTCATGGGAGGTTGGATCTAATCCACTCTCTAGCGACCACTTCCCAATATTTTTAAAATATCAAGGCAGAAAAAGCTGTGAAACAGCTCGTCCTCCACGCTGGAAACTTGAAATGGCAGATTGGCCTGCATTCTCCTCTTTGGTTGACATCACTGAGGAAATACTGCAGATATCAATATGCAGTTGAAGTTGTCACTTCCAGTATTATTCAGGCAGCTGAAAAACAATGGGAAAAACATCAACTAGATATCCAAAACATCCAAAACCAAGGTGGGACCAAAATTGCAAGGCATCATTTAAAGCACAAAAGAAAGCATGGGAGATTTTCAGAAGATACCCCACTAGTAACAATTTGATTGCTTTTCAAAAAGTGAAGGCAAATGACAGAAGAATAAGAAGGCAAAGCCAAAGGGATTCTTGGAGGAAGTATGTTTCTAGTATAACATCTTCCACTAGCTCAAAAGCAGTCTGGGATAAAATCCATAAAATCAATGGGAAATATGCTTCTCACTCTCTGTCCATGCTAGAAAATAATGGCACAATAATCAGCAATATACAGGGTATTGCTGATATGTTGGGTGAAACATTTTCGTCTTCATCCAGCAATATTATGTATCCAAGGAATTTTTTGGCTTATAAAGCCCAAAGTGAGAAAGAATATTTAAATTTCCATTCTTCATCTAATGAGGAATATAATGTGCCATTCACTAGAATTGAATTACATACAGCGATCTTTCGCTCAGGGAATAGTTCTGTAGGCCCAGATAAAATCCACTACAGCATGATTAAAGATCTGTCAAACAATTCCCTTTCTAATCTCCTTTGTCTGTTTAACAGAATATGGTCAGAACATACTTTTCCTGACTTTTGGAGGCTATCTATCATCATTCCATTCCAAAGCCTGGTAAAGATCACAAGAATCCCTCTAATTACAGACCAATCTCTCTGACAGGTTGCCTGTGTAAACTCTTTGAGAGGATGGTAAACAGACGTCTGATGTATCTCTTAGAGAAAAATGAACACTTTTCACCACATCAGAGTGGTTTTCGTAGGAACAGAAGTACCATTGATAACTTAGTAAACCTTGAAACATCTATTTGTGAAGCGTTTGTTAGACGACAGCACTTAGTGTCTGTGTTTTTTGATGTAGAGAAGGCCTATGATCGCTGTTGGTGATACGGGATACTCCATGATCTGTACCAATTTGGATTGCGGGGTAATTTG